ATCTTGCTAAAGCCCCTGATAGTTTTGTTTCAGCGTCGGATTTGTACCTTGTTTACGAGGTTACTCCTATTCACATGAAGCGTGTGTATTGACGCTTTTTTGTGGCTCTTATATTGTCCAAGCTTGTTCAGGTATGTATGGTCGACCTTTGTTCCATAATACTGAAGTTTCGCCACTAGGAAGTGCCGCTAATGGACGTCTGCAGTACGTTCAAGGTGCCGAGGGGCACCGTGCAAGCTCTTCGATTGTTTTACCTTTGTTTTATGTTTTCACAGGCTGCACGAGCTAGATGTTTATACAAAGCGGGCTTACGAACAGTTGAAGCTGTAGCTGAGGCTACAATTCCTGAACTTGCAAACGCGCTGCGTGATTCTTCATTCAAAGAACATGCAGGTTGGCTTCTCTTATATGCTTTTACTGGCAAGCTTTTTGTAATAGATGCTGGTAAGCAGCAGTGGATGTACGCTGCAGCGGCAAAGAAAATAAGAAACGGAGCAAGGAGAATTGTCCTGGATCGAGCAGAAGAGGTGCGAATAGCTGCTTTCTCGGCATTTCAAGCTCTTGGAGCAACGATTCCGCATTCGCTGTCACAGTCTTTATATGCCAGTGTTGAGAGGCCTCAGGCTGAGACAGACGAGATTGCCATATCTCCAAAGCGAGACGAGGGCAAGGCCGACGTTCATAGCACTGACAGTTGGATTGGATGACAGCAAGAAAATGGTAACCATGGCTCCAATGCGTTTGGAGGCTTGCAGAAAAGAAGGCCAAGGACCCAATCTTGCTGCTGTGACATCTTAGATCTGGAAACAAGGTTTTGATACATGCCCAAGCCAATAAGACTGCTTCGCGATTTCAGGACCAGTGGAAAATTCTTGTTGTGAACATCATCTTTAATTCAAAAAACTGCTACTTTGATCTAATACTATTAATAAATTTTGAAAATACCACTCCATCTAGCTTTCTCCAATTCAATCTTCCAGAGCATCATGGATTCCTCCTTTCGCTTATCTTCTTCGGCCTGGAGATCCTGTTCAAGCTCGAGAGCAAAACAAATGTCCCCCTCCATTGCCTCTGCCTGCTCCTCCTGAGAATCCCCCTCAAGCACAAGATCCTCATTGTCCACATTCTTTTGGAGGATTTGGCTCGTTTCCCCATTGCCAATTTGAATTTCTGCAAAGCGCTCCTTGTGTTCTGGCCGCTCCAAAACCTCCTCAAGCACGAGATGTAGCATCTCCTCATCATCCACATCCTCGAGATTTGACGACAGAATTTCAGTCATCACTTCGTCACTCACTACAATTTCTGCCACCTCAGGGAACACAAGAGGGATGTGTTCCTCCTCGTTTGGGACTTCATTCTCCTCGACCAGTGCCATGATTCTAGCCAGGTCATCTATGTCAAACTCTTCCTTGTCCTCCACCCTGATCACCGCCCCAGCTTTATCGGCCTGTTGACCACTCTGCTTCGCTTGACTTTCGTGGACCAGCAAACCCTTCTTCGTCTCATCTTCAACTGGAGCGCGCTTGAGCTTCTTCTTCTCATGTGCCATGCCAACTTCCTCACTACTGCTCGATCTTGGCCGCTTCATGTAAGTTGGTCTTGTTTTTCCGCCATAAGTGAATTTTTTATTGCACTGACTGCAGCGATACCTTGGCTGGCCAATGTTGTCATTGTTGAAGTAGTCGAAGTTGCCGCACTCACCACGATTGCACTTCATACAGGTCGGGTGCTGCTGTTTCAAGTACGATTTCAACTCATCCACGCTTCCAAACTGGAGGCTACTCTGCTGGCAGGACGAAGACCAAAATAGTGGGTAGTTCTGGAGAAGATGGAGCTCCTTGTACACCTTGCTGCTTTTGTTTGGCATCGCTGCTGGCTTCTCTGCTGACAGGACAACAAGTGAAAACCTAAAATATGTCCTTTTTTACAAGCTTAAGGGATGAAATGTGTGTTTAAAGTTTTGGGTAAAGGGAGTTTTATTAAACATCTTTTAATTTCCACCCGATTCCTTTTGTTGCAGCTTTTAGACGACGGTGCGACCTTCTCAGGCATCCCAAAATTTAGCGCATGACTGTTGCGGAGTTTTTGGAACGGAGTGGAGGCTCCACACTTGTTGATGTAAGCTGGTGCCCCAGAAGGAGGCTTTCTTCAAGGTCCTTAATTCTTCCACCTAGATTTTCTTCTTTTTCATGTTGCAGGCTGTCGGAAATATGTATCAACAGCTGTCTGAGGAACTTAGCTGGATCAAGGTTGAAAAGGAGTTGCTTCATCAGAGCTGCGACAGATCCAAGCAGGAGGTAAATCGAAGCTGGTTAAGGCAGACTTTCCTTTTGTGATTCAGTTTAAAACACTTGACTTGAGAGCAGGACTGACTTGAAAGATGGCTTACCAGCCGGGACCTGCAAATACATGCTGCGCAGGTGCAAACTTTGTCATCGAGCAGGCAATGAAATGACAAGCTTTACAAGCATGACGGTAGTCTCCTCATTTCGTGAGTGCAAATGCTTTTATTTTTTGTTGTTCTCCCCATACAAGGCCCGATTTCAAGCTAAAATCCCAAGCAATTCTAATCTTAGCCTTGATCGTGTCACAATGGTCTCCTCCACACAGGAAATCACCAATAATATTTTCCTCTTTAGAACATGATGCCAAGCTAAATCGATGGATCCCGGACGGCATGATAGACAGGACCAAGAAGAGCATGACCCATGCGTGCACCTAGAGGAAGAGGTCAATGGATCCTTCAATCTGGTCGGAGCTCATCAACTCCCAATCCCCATGCTCTGCCGCTTCGGGTCCCTCTCAAATGATTGGTATAGCGCGCGACACACCTAGCTGCGTCGGGAACACCATGTCGTAAGAAAGCTGCTTGGCTCATGTACAGCGCTGAAAAAACAAAAACCAAGTGTGAAGAGCTTAGAAAACTTACAGTTGAGAACGCACGGCAATGACTTGTCAAGACGTTGTCAAAACTCCTTCGAAGGTAGCACCTTGTCCAAGTACGTGTGTACAAACCAGAGCTGAGTTAGCTTCCAAAGAAGTCACACGAACCTGGTCAAGTAGCAAATCGTGAAAGAGAAAAGTGGATCATCGGCATGCATGGGAGCTTTCAAAGTGGCCACCGTTCCTGCCAGGTTTGCGTCTCACCTCGCACCACTGCAACGACAATGTAAATAACTAATCGATGCAAACCTCTTCACTATCTGCATATCGAGCAGCGCTAAGTCGAAAGAGAAAGAAAAAAGAAGAAAAACTCACTGCGAGCTGAGATCAATCGCCTGCAAGCGAGCAATGTTTCCAACAACAAAGCGAATTTCTATAAATTGCTGGATAGAGAAACACGAGCTGAATCAAAAGAACAATCGACGAGCGACTGTAACAACTAACATACTCACCAGCCATAGGATAGCCTGGTTTCTCTCCTTAGAGTCGAGCGAGTAAAATTGTGCGTCTTTTTCCTCCAATACTGCCGGAGTTCCCAGTTTTCAAGATCAAAGAACTGTAACGCCGGTGGACATGCTACAAGGACAAACACATCACACCACTCCAAGAGAGTTACCTCAGGAATGTTTGCAAGCTTTGCAGGATTTGGCTTCCCGACGGCAAGAGTGTATGACTTTTTTCTTGCGCTCTTCACCATTTTCTTTACATTCCGTATAGCTCCGGCTGCGAGGAAGTCCAGGTGTTAGAGAAATGCCGACCAACATCGAGTGTTATGCCGACAATGTTTGCATCCTTTGGTACGCTCGATTAAATAGTACCTGGAACCAAAGTCGAGGAACTTTACTGGTTGCCAAACTCTTCGATGCAATCGTCTAGATCTCAAGTTCTAGAAATCATTCAAAGGTATCTATCTACCTGCATATTCCGATGATCGCAAACCACAGTACTCCAGGCTCCGTAAGAATGCATTTCGTTTGCCTGGCTGATTGAAACACACCACTGTCAGAGCTACAAAGGAAAGAAATTCATGAACTCCATAATTCCACCTGGAAGATGTTGCGAGGGATGAATTGGATACGCCACAACGATTTCCTTGGGAAAATTCCAGCGGAAATCGCTTCTCTTGAGCAGCACAGGCTGCGGCATTTCGACAATCAGGAATCCTCCGCGCTCTGGATGGAAATCGCCTGTGCTGTAGCGGCGGCACTGCAGTCCCTAATCCAGAATCCGAGCTGAGAGAGGAGTATCGGAGATGCGCGGCATACGTTCAGCGTACTGGCGCGTGGTAACGCCAGTGCTCAGCCTCGCCATAGCCTGAAACCCTAAATTTCCAGCCCGTTAAACCCTAAACCCAAACATGATAGATAAGTTAACTTTAATAAAAAGTGTTACGCTTTAATACAAAAGACAAGAATATTCTCCTTCCTGGCCTGGGACTCTCTTGGACATCCTGCGAGAAAGAGGCAAAAAGAAAAGAAGAAGAAGCGTGAGATAGCCGATCAAATGAGAGTATACTTACATTGCCCTATCGCTTCCCTCTGCCTCCTCCATAGTGATCGAAGCTCCAAAATCCCAGGAGCTCGAAACAAAGTAGTGCCAGAGAGCTCTCTTGCAAGAGCCCAGCGAGCTCAAAGTCCCTGCCTTTCTAGCTCAAGCATCCGATTCCTGCTTTCTCGGCCTTTCAAGCTCTTGGAGCAACGATTCTGCATTCGCTGTCACAGTCTTTATATGCCAGAGTTGAGAGGCCTCAGGCTGAGACGGACGAGATGGCCATATTTCCAAAGCAAGACGAGGGCAAGGCCGACGTTCATAGCACTGACAAGGAAAACCGAGCAGTAATTATGCAAGAAAATGGTAAGCATGGCTCCAATGCGTTTGGAGGCTTGCGGAAAAGAAGGCCAGCACAGTGAAAACGGCAACATAAACAAAGTATTATATGCACGAGGGCAGGGCTCGTTTCTTTCTTTCCAGTATATTGGACTTCTTTCAAATAAAAAGTCACATCTTAGATCTGGAAACAAGGTTTTGATACATGCCTAGGCCGATAAGACTCGATTTCAGGACCAGTGGAAAATTCTTGTTGTGAATCGATTTAATACTATTGACATAGGTGCATTATACCTTCTCAGATCAATGGTATTCTCTCCTTTAATTCACATAACTACATCATGTATTCTTGGATTTCGTATTTGTATTTTGTATTTCTTCCTCTGTCTTTTAGCATCTTAAAGGCTTTAGCATAGGGATTTATATCTCGCAATAATATATCTAGCTCCGTCATCACCTCTTTATTACATTTTATGTTATATTGATTTTTCATCCATGCTTTAGTGGCATGTAATGTACATCTCGACACTTCCATGTGTTGGTCCTCTTGTGTCCCTTTTTTAAAGACTCACTTATTGTTTGTTCTTTAAGCACTTTATTGAGAGTTGCACTTCAAGTCGAGCATTTTTAGTCTAAATGTGTTACTCTTGTTTGGCTTCCACTTCAGCCATTACCACATGGCACCCTTTTGGCTCCACTTTTGGGGCTCTAGAATTTGTGTCTCACAAATAGGTGGGGATTGTTATTTCTTTCAAGTGATATATTTGCGAGTATTTTATTTGTCAATTGATGATACTATATTTTTTGAGCTGTCTTTTGTAAGTTATTTAGCATGCTATTTACAATCATTGGTAGTTAAGCTTTATCATTGAGTTCTTTTGATAATATACTTGCTATTGAATTTTTTTGGATAGTTAGTACTATAATTTTAACCTTTAATGATTTTAGTGGTTCCTATACATTAATTCTAGTTGATCAAATGATAACTTAATTAGAATACTTTTATTTTCTAATCTGAGAGTTATTCAATGATAATTTAGTCTTTAAAATATCATTATCTCTGATTTTGATATTATCTATTTATTGATCTTTGTGTTTGGGCCAATATAGGTAGACTGATTTCAGCACTTTATGTGTATAGTGAAATATT